GGTCGTACTGCCTCAATGGATTCAACGTCATCACCCGAGCATGGTAAAGTAGCTGCCTGGAAGCTGCTCATCAATCACCTGGAACAATTTTATAAGCAATTCCAACACTTTGGCTTAGATCGTTGTTACTCAGAACAGATTTTCCATCAATTGTTGTATTTCATTTGTGCGGTCGCATTAAATTGTTTAATGTTACGTGGTGATATTTGTATGTGGGAGACTGGCATGATTATACGTTACAATTTAGGTTATATTGAGGATTGGGTGCGGAGCAAGGGAATGGTGAGTGGCAAAATGAAGTTTAATTGCTTGTGAATATTATATATGCATTTGTTTTCTAAATTTTTTTCATAGTCAAATGATGTGTTGGCACCATTGGCGCCACTGAATCAAGTATCACAGTTGTTGCAATCGCGCAAGAGCGAACAAGATGTGCAAAGTATTTGTGATTTGTGCACATCGTTGAATACAGCGCAAGTGTTGAAGGTAAGTTCAATTGCAAAATGTAGAGTGATATTTTAATTTTATTATATATATTAGAAAACATTATAAGTATAAAGAATTTAAAAATTAAATTAAAATTTTTTTAATAGTAAAGGTAAAATTTTAAATATTTGAGTTTGCCAAAAAAAATTTAAATTTAAATTAATTATTAAATTCATAGCATACAAATTAAATTTTTTTATATTTTTTTTCTATTTCTAATTTTTAATTTTTTTTTAAACTAAAATTTTAAATATTTGAGTTTAATTAAAGTAATATTTTTTAATACGTGTATTTATGTATGTATACAAAATGAAAAGACAACAATCTATTTCAAAATAATTAATTAATTCAATTATTCATATCAATTTTTTGAGTGTAAGAGCATTAAAATATATTCCTTACATAAAACTTAATAGCGCCGAGATTCTATATAGCAAACTTTTATAAATCATTAAAATTTTTAATCTTATAGAACTTTAAGAAGATTATTATAAATAATCTTTAAATAGTTATACTGAATAAAATATTTCTAACTCATAAACTACTTGTATTTAAACGTAAAAAAAACTGAATAAGCACATTAGAAACTATTTTTTAAATATTTGGAAATGTTCAATAGGGTTGCAAATAATGCATTAAAAAATATTTGAATTAACCCTTAAATAAATTTTTTGTTTTGTAATTCCGAATATATAAATTATTAATACTTCTTTAATTTTTAAACCCAAATAACGCTTTGAAAAAAAATTTAATTCCAAGTACCGAAATGAAAAGTTGAATGCCCAAAAAAAAATTATTTCAATCGACTGGAGTGAAAAAAAATTAATGCCAAGTTTATAATTAAAAATTACAAAAAATAAAATTGTTTTAAAATGTAAATTTTTTCACATTTCCGTACTTCGTGTTTCTACTATTTTGGTTATCTTTTGAAAAGAAAAGCTTATTTTTAATAAAATATCAAGATAGTTTAGCTCTTTTTTCTTATTAATACTTAATTGCTTTTTATTAAAGTGTTTCCGTTAGAAAATATTTTTCCTTTTTTATCCATTTTCAAATCAGTAAAACAAAACAACTATAAGTAAATATTGTCAAATATTCAATATATTTCTAAGCTATAAGTTATTCATATCCAGGTTTCGAATTTTTAAATAAAAAATATTGTATAGATAATTAAATTTTCATCCTAATCCCTAATTTTTAATCCTGAAAATTTTAGTTTTTAATTTAAATGAGATACGAAACTTGAAAAAATGTTAATTCTAAAACCATATCCTCTTTTAATTCTTAATTATAATATTATATTAGCTTGTGAAATGTTTCTTTTTTATTTTTCAATCATTTTTTTATTTAAAATTTTTTTTTTAATTCAATACGTTATATGAGATTAAAAAATTATAAAAATTATTCAAATGTTAATTCAAATATTTTATAATGCATTATTTGCAACGCAGTTCATACCGATATATTATTATAAAGTTTTGATTACTATACTGTAAAAAATAACCTAATAATTATTAGAATTCTGTTATTTTTAATCAAAAATATATATATTTAACTTACCTAAAAGTGTTTAAGCTAAATTTACAAAAACAAATACTAAATATAATACAGCTTACGTGCTTCTAATGTAAGACGGAAATTCTAACCTAAAAGTTTGTACTTTAAACATCATAATTAATAAAAAAAAAATATATTTTCGCTTCTCTAAGGTAATGAAATCATACAAACTGGATGATTATGAAGGTGAAATAACGAATACGTTTTTGGAGAAACTCACCAAAAAGCTAAACGAACGTGGAATGGTAATATCAACATTACTAATTGCATTTTTCTTAATAATTACTATAAACGTCAACTTCAAACCTATTCATATATACAGATTAAAAACGACGAATTTACTATGGATCAGAAATTCATACATCCCTTCAAAGTTGTTTTCAAGTATAGTGATGTCAAATTGGAGGATATTGAATTGCCGAAACATTTGGGGCTGGAAGACTTATTGGCGAAAATTTAAATTAACCGTTATGTGTGTAAAATGTGTAAACAATGTTGTTGCAAATTTATACAGTCCAAACATTCCACCCTCCGACAAATAATGAAAATATATACATTAATATTAGAAAATGCTAAAATTATGAATTTATATTAGCTAAGCATTAGTTACCTATGTACTTCCATGCTAAAATTATTATTGTTAGAAAATCGTTGTAATAGAAAGATTTATTGTGTACCTTGCGCAATTTGTTGCCATTGAAACATACACATATTATTATTATTAAAGTAAAACACGTACTTATGAATGAACTGAACATTCCCCCCTACACGAAAAAAAGTATTTTGTAGCTGAATACTTTAACACAAGCGCTAATATACATAAATATATTTAGAAAAAAGAGAAACAAACATGAATAGCATATACACTAAATGAACTATTTTAGTTACTTAAAATAAATTATATAAATTATTTGTGTTAATTTACATTACACTTATAAGCAACTTTATTTAAAGAAAAAAATAGTTATAAACGTACACAACTGTGTAGTTATGCACACATGTGTAAAGGGTATCCGATAAAAATTATTTCAAACGTTTAAGAATTTGTTTGGAAAATATGTTGACATTGTGCAACGACTTAAACTCGCCTATTAGTTAATTTATTACACGACAAAAGCAAAGCATCTCTATCTTAATATACCTGTAAATCAATTGAAAATCTTTGTTATCGGTACTTGTTAGTATTATTGGCATATACACATATACACATTAGTTTTGAATTAGTAAAATAATGCAATAATTGATATAATCAGCAATATTAAATTATACAATGTTACATTGAAGTTGGATTTGGAGTTGTATTTAAAGCGTGGGAAACTTTTTGAATAGCTTAATAATGGTGAAACCACAGCAACAAAGTTGCCTTATTGTTGGTGAGCAGCAGCAACAGCGACCACTGAGTATGTGTTAGTGAGCAATCGTACATGTGATAAAAAAAAAATAATAATAAATAAAAAAGAGAAAGGTTTATTTATACACATACATACATACATCCTTATACATATGGATTAAAAAGTACATATTAAATCTATAGAAATATAAAGAAATCTACGTCTGTTCAATATGCAAATTCCTAAAAAAGTTTAACTGCCTGCACTAGTAAATAGCAAAGAACATAGCTTTTTTCGTTTATAGAGCACTCTGCTGCTATTTAAAAGACTTGTATTTTGTTTATTTATTGTATTTATTGCATTTTATTTTGCATTTATTTTTTTTTTTTATATATTACTTTTTGTGCAAAAATATTGTGAAAACTTGTGAAAATTAATTTGAGTTTTATTATATTTATTGTAAATAGAAAATATCATACAAAAATGCCTATTAAATGTGGTAAATAATGTAAAAAAAAAATACTAATTAAAAATTAAATAATAGCGAACTTTAAAGAAATCCAACAAAATTATGGCACATAGTGCATTTCAATAATAAAATCATACTTTAAAGTTGATAAACGCTTTTAGCATACATTTATAACATATAGAATATCCATCAAGCCTTAGTTACTTAAATGTATATATCATACTTTGAGCTTACAACATTTTCTTCTCATAATTTATATATATATGTTGATTACTTTTGTTTACTAAAAAGCTCTAAACATAATTTATTTGACATACAATTAATTTGCCAAAATATTACTGAAATTGTAAAAATAAGCCACTTCCATTAAAAAGTATTTGAAAAAAATCTTAATTTTGATTAGCTCATAAGCAAACAACATATATTAGATTGATTTAAATTATTAGAATATACGAACTTAGCGCATTTTATACATACATAATTATATGCATACACAAATATACATATACATATACCATATACTTGCAAACATTGTGTAGCAGCTAAAACTCATTTTTTTTTTGTAGAGTGTTTAATTGCATGGCACATGTAAACATGATTATACTGAGACTTTGCCTGTCAATATAAGTAAAAATAAAAAAAATAAGTGTTTAAGATAACATAACACTTGAAATTTTTTGTTTCTAAAGCAAACATACAAATTTACATAATGCAACAAAATTGAAAAGAACATAGAAAATTGTTTATACATATGTATATTGAAAGTTTTTTTTAACAGTTATTGAAAAGTTGACAAAATTCGATTATCTAAAAAAAATGTAATTAATTAAAATTCATAAGTTTCTTTCTCTTATTGTCATTTAATTATTACAAATCTTGCCAAAATGAGCGAAAAATTATTATTAGCTATGCGAAATCGCATTAATAAAATAATTTACTCTAAAACATGCATTATAATGAAGATTAGTCGAAATTCCAAACTTTACAAAGCGCATTCCTGAATATATATTTAACAATTTATGTTTAGTTCCAAAAACTTCCGGCATTGCCATACAATAACAACGATTTCCAATGTTAAATTTCAAAACATGCAATTAAAAAACTACGTATGTACTTATTTCAAATAAATACAATATACATTCAAAAAAAAAACAAAATTGGTTTTCTTTATTTGCATTTTATTATACCTACATATAAATATTTGTATGTATGTGTGTCACCTTAACAAGTTACCACAATTTTAGACAATTTATTTTTTGGTATATCCAAAGAGAGTTTTCTTTCGGTAATCATGCCCGTTGCCACGGTCGAACCATTTTCTCTTATCGTAAAAGCTTGCCCTGGTATTAAAACCATTTTTCGCAGTAATGTTACGCGCACCTTGCCATGTTCGCCAGGCATCAGCATGCCATCGGAGGGTACTGCATAAAATAAATAGAAAAAAAAAACAGAAACATGAAATGGTGTCTAATTGCTTGTTTGCAAAATGCTTACTAATATCAATGCGTGCCGGCGCATTCCAAGTGGCGCTAAACAATTGTTGTATGTATTTGGAGAGCATAGGTTTAGTGCGTCCACCTTCTGCACGTGATAGTAAATACATGGAGGCCTCGAAGTGATTTGAGATATTTTCGGTGTCAGCCGCACATAGGAGCATACCACGTTCCACGGTGCCAATTTTAACGGCACGTAATAAGACACCAACATTTTCACCGGCTACAGCCTAGAGCAATATTCAAGCAAAAAAGGAAAAATTTGGGCAATTCTAATATGCTTACAATTCGTTTACCTTCGGTACGCTTTTTTTGAAAATTTGTATATCTCCTAAACTAGTTTTGATATTTTGATTGAAACCGAGCAAATCGGCTAAATCGTTTCTAAGCATTGTTCCACGCTTTATTGTGCCAACGACGACTGTACCACGTCCAGCCATTGTGAATGCATTATCAATTGGCAATATGAAGGGTGATGTGTAATCACGCGTTGGTGTCGGCACATAAGTATCTAAATTATGTAGTAAGCTTTCAATTGCTGGTACACCAAAGGGCGATGTGTCGCCATTTAAAGCTAATAATGCCGAACCGCAAATTACCGGAGTGTTAATGCCATCAAAACCAAAATCTGTTAACATTTCACGCATTTCTATTTCCACCAGTTCTAATACTTCCTGATCAACTAAATCAGCTTTGTTGATGAATACAATAATACGTTCGATGCCAACCTGTTTGGCAAGTAGAAGATGCTCACGCGTTTGTGGCATTTGTCCATCGGTTGCGGCGACGACCAGTATAGCGCCATCCATTTGTGACGCGCCCGATATCATATTCTATGGGTAAAACAATCATCGCATACATTAATACACATTTGATGATTTATTTAATTGTTTACTCACCTTAATATAATCGGCATGTCCCGGACAGTCGGTGTGTGCATAGGTACGTTCCGCTGTTGCGTATCCAATGTGACAAGCATTTATTGTTATACCTCGCGCTTTCTCCTCGGGCGCCCTATCGATTTGATCGTACGACGCATATTGCGCTAGTCCCTTCTCAGCCAGAATCTTAGTTATAGCAGATGTTAACGTAGTTTTGCCGTGGTCCACATGCCCTATTGTACCCACATTACAATGTCGCGTTTTATCAGCTTGTGCTGCAACGGCGCTCGTATTGCTAAACCATTTTCTTCTTGTACTATATACACTGGCTAGTTTAGCGGTAGAAAGCTTCGAGTCTGCGGTTAGAGTGCGAAGAGAACGCAAACTACTGCCGGCTAATTGTGAAAATAGTTTAATCATTTTAACTGTGAGTATTAATGCTAGAAAAATACACTTTTATTTATTGAATGCACTATATTGAAGCTGTTCATTAAGATATTTTAAAATTTACTAAACTATTTTCTTTTTTCACTGATGAGCGGAGCGGTTTGCATCACATTTTACCAATTTGATAAGCACAGCTGTTTTTTGATCAAATCAGCTGTTAAACAGCTGTTTGCAGCAGTTCTCAAACGCGTTATGAACAAATTTATTCAATTATACATAAAAACATAAAATATTATTCAAATGTTTATTAGTCATTTAGTTTCATTCTTCCAAGTATACTAATAATAAAAAAAATTTAAATGTTTACTTATTAATAATGTTATACGTCTAACGAACTTTGAAAATATTAGGTGTAGTAAAAAGAAATCCATTATTTTTCCATTAGATGGCGTTATTTATCTGTATCTCGCGATGTATAAGTCCGATCGGGTTCCGCTAGCTGGCGTTATAAAGATGAGATTTCGTACAACAAAAGCTTCTCTGACAATTTTGTGATTGGTTGTTCAATTTTGCTTGAGCGTACGTCAAAGATGGATAGTAGTAAAGATAAAATTCGCTATATTTTAGAATTTTTCTGCGATAAGGGCGAAAAAACAAGTCAGGCGGCTGAAAATGTGAATAGCGTTTATGGTCCTGATACTGTAACAACTAATCAGACCGTCCGACCATCATGTAAACACTGTTTCGATTGGCCAAGAGCTAAAGATTGCACAAAAAACCGTTTGGAACCATTTGAATAAGGCTGGATACCAAAAGAAGTTCGATGTATGGGTGCAACACAACGTAGGGTCCTAACATGGCTTCTTGTGGCAACTGCCGATTCTGCGACATGGGGCCGGAAACACCAGAACAGATTGCCCCGCAATTTGTAGACGCAGGCTCAAGGCCCTAGGCTCCATTTATGTGAGCAGGGATAACATTGCCTCAATAGCATCCAGCAAGTTCTTGGAGTTTTTCGAGGTGCTGGGACTTTGGGAAAGCATGTGGTAGAGGAGAGGGCACAATAGACCCTGGGTCGCACTGTAAACCTCATATTCATTCTATACTATTCTATGGGTGCCACACGAGTAAACCCAAAAAAATCTCATGGACCGAATTTCCATCTGCGAATCGCTGCTGAATCGTCACAAAATCGACCCATTTCTGAAGCGGTTGATGACAGAAGCGGCTAGCTTTAGCCAATAGGAGAAAAATTGTGTTCCATCAGGACAACGCCAGGCCACACACATCGATAGTGACTCGCCAGAAGCTCCGGGAGCTTGGTAGGGAGGTTTTTATGCATCCACCATATAGTCCGGACCTGGCACCAAGTGTTTACCATCTGTTCCTGTCCATGGCGAACAATTTTGCTGGTAAAGAATTCGCTTCAAGAGAGGCTTGTGAAAATCAACTGTCTCAATTTTTTGCCAATAGGAACTAAGGCTTGTATGAGAGCGGCGTAATGAAATTATCCATAAAATTGCAACAAGTTATCGAACAAAACGGCGTATATTTAACCAAAATCGGATCATTCTAACTATGGTAATTAAAACCTACAATTTCATGCAAAAATAAAAACAAGTTATTCTGTATTCTAATTTCATTAAATACATATTTTTTATGTAATCAGCTTAAAAAATAATTATTTAGTCTACAAGAAATGAGTTTTTATGTACGTTGATGTATATAAAATACATTTTTTTTCCTTTTGAAAGTCATATTTGTAATATTAATGTACGTTTGATTACTTATACATTTTAATGATGCAATGAATAATATTGTTAATCCATCTTGCGAAACTCCTTTAATAGTAACTCCATAGAACTGAGCAAGCTATGATTCTTCAATACGAAAGAACTGAATTTCGGTTACAATAATAGCATTCGCAATGCTTGGTAATTCTTAATTATAAATAATTATCGCTCGTTATATATTGGTCACATGCGTACTATTAAATTTATTTGTAAATGAAATTATTAATGTTGGGTATAACTTTGTTTTGCATCCATCCATTTTAATATAAAGTTCCGACGTCTGTTAATTTTAGGACTTTTGTTGACTTTTGACTATGCCATGCGTCCTTTTCATATGTGAGTTTAATCCAACAAATTGATGGAATTTTGCTTCACATAATTTACAAGCGAATTTTTTAACTTCGGAATGTATTTGTCTATGTCGTATAAGTGAATGACAATTGGTAAATCCCTTGCCACATGTTTCACAGATTTTATCCCGTATATTAAGATGAGCCTTTATGTGATCTTTCAAATCGCGTGCTTTCAAAAAATCTTTCGGACACATCGTACACTTGTAGGCTCTTGTTTTCGTATGTATAGCATCTGAGTGATAACCCAATTGAGTCTTACTGCGAAATGCTTTTCCACATAATTCGCATACAAAAGGTTTTTGACCAGTGTGCGTGCCTATGTGTCGCTGCAAGTCCACTTGTACGGCAAAACGTCTTTCACAGTAATCACATTTATGTACTTTTCCCACATGACTACGTTGCTCATGCATTAGTAATGTGGCTTTGAATTCAAAAGTACGTCCACATTCCGTGCATTTGTGTGGCCAATCGCCGATATTGTGCTCCCTAAAGAGATGACTTTGCCGCGTCGTCGCATTTTGGAAAACTTTATTACATTCCGTGCATTTTAATTTCAAATTTGGCGCTCTGGTTGGTAGAAAAGAACATTTTTTCATATAAATTTGCGCTGCACTTGATAAATCTTTTTCTGCTAAATCTTTTTCAAGACGATTTTTAAGTTTATAATACCAATGTCGTAAGTAGTAAATCCCCTTATAAATTTCGTCATCACTGAATTCTATGTTTTCTTTAGATTTAATGATATTTGACATTTCCTTATATGTTTGTTTGCGAACACTGGAATTATTATAATCTTCATGCTTAGTATCATATAACACTGGGAAAAGAGCGTATGTTTCAATGAAGGTCTCAGTTACAGGATTTAGTTTTGCAAAGCTTAAGTTCTGAAAGAGTATACAATCAATATATATATATCACTCAAATAAAACAGTTTGATTTATATTTACTGTATTTGTGATGGGTGTCTCCTCTACTTCTTTGACAAAATCGTCTTTCGATACAGACAAAAAGGAACATTTTTGGAAATAGTCCATCACAACGCCTGGTAATTTTTTTGTTTTCGACTTAGTCTTGTTTTGTTTTGCTTGATTTGTTGCCTGGTATTGCATGTGCAATTTGCGGAAGCAGCTTCTCACTGTTTGATCAGTTAATATAACTTGACAGCGCTTTTTCATCTCCTCAATTATTTCTTTTTGACAATTTTCTCGTGCTACACTATTGTTATAATGATCATCACTAGGATCCCATAAGCATGCAGCTTTTTTATAAAGTTCAATGAAAATAGTTGTGCTAGTGTTGCGCCTATAAAATGTTGGGTTAAACTAAAAACAGCATGTTACTATATGTAGGATTAAAAATAAATATGATTTATATCTAATATTCATACTTTTTTGTTGTTCGTCATATCTTTTTTGCCATCTTCATCAGAGGAATCTGTGTCGGTGTCAACATAATTCGCATCATTATTTTGACTTTGGTCAACATCCGAGGCTGTATCGGCGTCATGCTATATATGTAAGTTCTATGTATTAAGTATGGAATTCCTGGACTTCACTGATTACTTTACCTCGGTTTTAACCGATTCTCCATCTGACTGCAATTCCATTTTCATATCAGAGTCATTACCCGCAAATTCATTTGTGTCAATTTGGGTCATAGTTTCATCTTTTATCAGTCCAACTACGATATTCTCTTTATAATCCAATTCCACTAGTGGGTCAATACAAGGCTCTTCATAGTTTGTGTTGTGCAAACTCTGTATATGATTAACAAAGGCATCCCATTCCTCTATATCTGTTTCACAATATAGACATTTAAGCGCAAAGTTGAGTATGTCTTTTGAAACCAAAACATTTCCACATATATCCATTTTTAAAAATGGAAACTTTCACGGAACTACGAATCGGCGATAAAATTCGGCGATTGTGTATTTTGTTTTACTTAATTTGGTCAAATTCACAATGATTACAATGTGAGGCCGATGTGAATGGGACTGTATTCTAAGAAGAAGCGTGTAAACAAAGTTTATTTTTATCAGTGTTTGTATAAGTAATATGTTACTGTAATTAAATGCATTTGTTTTGTTTATGACTTTGTTGCAAATGTGAAAAATAATAATGCCATAACCTGCTTAACATTATATTAGAACCCTTATACACATTTACTGAGTAACACAAAGTATACTTATAAATTAAACCAATTTATTCATTTTGTGTTTCATATGTACATATGTTTTTATTAAACAGTGAGAACTAAAATTAAAATTATAAATATTGGAATAGTCATTAAACAGAGTCGATTACTTCAAAAAGTGGTTTATTGAATCCTTATATGTACAAATACAAAGTATGCTTTTATAAATAGTTCCACGAAAATTTACGCTTTTTGTTGTTATAGCAGCATTATACATTCCCAAAAAAGTTTGGGAGAACGCTGTTGTGCATATTTGTTGTCGATGTTTGCGGTAGTGGAGCTGTTTCAGGCGTTTTCTCGGTTTTCTTTGCGCCATTCTTATAAATACCATGACGGTGTTTCATATGTGAGTTAAGCCCCACAAATTGATAAAATCGTTTCTCACAAAATTTACAAGCATACTTTTTAACTTCCGCATGCAATTGCTTATGCCGATGTAATCCGTGGGCGCTTGTAAAATCTTTGCCACATGTATCACAAATCTTATCTCTTATATTAAGATGAGCCTTTATGTGATCTTGCAAATCGCGTGCTTTCAAAAAATCTTTCGGGCACATAGTACATTTGAATGCTCTCAACTTTAGATGTATTGCATCGTTATGGAAACGTAACTTAGTCTTATTACGAAATCCTTTACCGCACAATTCACATATAAATGGCTTGTGGCCAGTATGTATTCCCATGTGATTTCTCAGATCTGCTGGTATAGCGTAACTTTTATCGCAGAATTCACATTTATGTATTTTTTCCGTATGAAATCTTCGTTTATGACCACTTAAAGCGGGATTATTGCTAAAACTTTTATCGCATAAATGACATTTGTAGGGCAATTCACCGATATTGTGCACTTTGTGAAGATGGGCCTGCCTACCTGCATTAGTTGTAAATATCTCACCACACTCTGTACATGGCAGATCTGTGTCGAAGCGCTTCTCGCCCCTTGATCTTCTGGTGAGAAAAGCTAACTTTTCCACATAATGTTGCGCTGCTTTTGTCAAAGACTCAAATTTCAAATTCTTTCCAAGACGTTTTTTCAACTTAAAGTACCATTGACGCATATATTCTATTCCCTTGAAGATATCATCATCGGTGAACTCAACGTTTTGTTCAATTCTAAGGATGTCAGCCATTTCCTTGTATGTTAGCCTACGTTTAGCTTGTTGGTAGTAATCTGGGTGTTTGTAATCGTAAAGAGACGGGAAACGTTCATATGTGTCGATAAATGCTATTGTTATAGTGTTCTTAGAAGCAAAGCTTATATTCTGTAAATAATTTATGTTTTCATTAAAAATGTAAAATTAAAATGTATATGAATACAAACCGTAACAGTATTTGGCGTATCTTCAAATATATCCAAAAATCCATCTAATGCTACAGAGAGAAATGAACACTTCTCATAATATCCTAGCACAGTTGGGGACAATTTTTTGTATCTCGAACCAGATTTCTTCTCTATGGCCTCCCCCACTGTTTTGTACAACATGTGTAACTCCCGAAAGCATTCCCACAATTTTTTGTATGTTAATGTTATTTGACATCTTTTTTCCATCTCTTGTATCATTTCAGTTTTACATTTTGAACGTTCTGTGTTATTAGTATAATTTTCGTCATTAGGATTCCATAAACAAGGAGACTTTTCAAACATTTCAATGAATACGTTAGTATTTTTGTTATTCCTATAAAATGATGGCTTAAACTGTAAGAAAGTATTTTATTTATTTATGTATTTAAGTTGTTTTAGTAAACAAACCTTTTTGGGAGCTTTTTGTTTACTTTTTTCCAGATATTCGTGTGAAGAGTCTGAGTCAGGGTTACTATCGTTGTCATCATCATAACTCTGGTCTCCATCATTATCAGAAACGGGGTCTTCTGTTGGCTGTGTGAAGAAATTGTAAAAACTCATTAAAATTAAAAAAAAAATAATAATACGCTATTCATATGTGGGTATAAACTTACCTCTGTTTTAAAAGCTTCCCCATCTGAAGGTACTTCCACTTTTAAAGCATCTACACTTTCATTCCAATGATCGCCATCAGTGGATGGCATAACTTCATCTTTTAACCATTCTAAAGCATTGTTTTCTTTGTAATCCAATTCCACTATGGGATCAATGCATGGTTCCTCGAGGTCGCTATTGTGCAAACTTTGAATGTGATTAACAAAACTCTCCCATTCTTGTATGTCTTCTTCACAATATAAACATTTTAAAGCAAAATTTAGAACGTCTTTTGAGACAAATACACTTCCACAAATATTCATGTTTCTGAAAGAATATGATATATAATGGATAAACTTTTACGATTAGCAGTTTGACAACTGTGTATCTTAGAAAATGGTTATTAAACTCAGAGTTAAATTATCGAACAAATTTATAGCGATGTGCTACTCGTTTTAGTGTAAACTTAATACAACACAAAATTTTCAAACAATCTTTCAGAAATTGCAGTATTGATTGTTAATTGACCCTCATTTTTCTTTTAAAATATAAAATAACTGTGCTCTATTATTAAGTTTGCTAATTAAAAACAATCTTACTCTAGAAATTGAAATAAAAAGTTATCGATTTCTTATCGAAAAGCTGAAAGTATGGAGACGTTGGGGTTAAGGAAAAGTTCTGTGAACAGCTGATTTCTGTTATTGTTATTTGATATATTTTCAATAATTTTTGATTAATCGGTGACTGCTAAGGGATCAATAACAAATTATGTTAAATTTTAAATAATATTAGGAAATTGTTTGCTTATTCGATAATTGATATGCGGATATGGCATTACAAATGGAAAAATCAAGATCTATCAGATCTTTTATAATGTGGATGATAGTGACGTTTATTTTTGGCGCGTCAATTTTTCTAACTGGCTTCTTCCCCATAAGCAATTGTACATTAGATCGTGCAGTAGCTGAAGGCAAACCAAAAACTTTAGATGGATTAAGGTACAAACTAATTACAAACTAAACTCAATATTTTCAAAAAACATACAAATTTTTTATTTTTCCAAAGTTTAACGCCGCCTACTCAAATTTACGCACAAACCATACTAATTCTTGTGGATGCTCTACGCTTTGATTTCGCCAGTCAAAAAGGTATTCCGTTTTCTTACAACAACTCTTGTAATCGTCTCAAGTTGCGAGTTAATATTCCCACTGTTACCATGCCGCGTCTTAAAAGCTTAACAACCGGCACCATTTCAAATTTTATTGATATAATCCTAAACATTGGTCATGTTGAGCAACTTGCAGACTCTTTAATACACCGCTTACAAGAACGTAACGAAATTACGGTTTTTGCTGGTGATCGTACTTGGATAAGTCTCTTTCCAAAACAATTTACACGTTTTACCGCTAACTCGGATTCATTTTATGTAAACGACTTTTATGAGGTGAATATGATTTATTAATGTAATGCACACATTTATTTTTAACTCCTTTTTGTCCGAATAGGGTGACAAGAATGTGACAGAAGTACTATCCAAAGAATTGCAAAATGACGACTGGATGTTGCTTGTGCTTCATTATTTGGGCTTAGATCACATTGGACATGTTGAAGGTAGTGATAGCTCTAAAATCCCTCTTAAGCTAAAAGAAATGGATGACGTTGTGCTGAAGCTCTACAAAGCAAAGGTATTCTAATTTAAAATTTTTGTTCTTGTTATTAGATGACATATATTTCGATATGCAAAGCAGCATTTTCACAGCCAGCTACTATTATTAACTGGTGACCATGGTATGCGAGATGGTGGAGGCCATGGTGGGAGTACAGCTGGAGAAATGTATGTGCCATTATTTGTTTTCAAAGAAAATTGCACCACAAGAGGGTAAATAATTGCAAAAAATTTAGAATAATTTTGTATAATGTATATATATTATATAAATTGAAGAGCGAGCAAAGCTAACGAGTATAATCAAATTGATGCGGCTCCCACATTAGCCATTCTTTGGTCCATGGAAATTCCACCAATGTCAATTGGCTGTCTAATACCCGAGCTTTTGCATGAATTTAACTTAGAAGATCAACTATATGCTTATTACTATAATGCTTTACATTTAGTGAAACAAGCTAACAACAAATTAGGACAAGATTATGTTAATAATAATGGTGAGTTTGCACATACATTCCAGTTTTGCATATTATTGTTTACAACTTATTATAGCATTCAGCAAATGGTTTACAACAGCAAAATCTGCGCACAAACAATTCCTTTTAGAAAAGCGTAATAATAATTTTGAAAATGCTTTTTTTTTCGAGGACGCTAAAGTACATTATTTACGTTTGGCACGCGAAATTTCAAACCAACTCTCCGATTCATTAGTGCAATTCGATTACGGGCTAATCACGCTGGGACTTGCGCTAAGCACTATTGTAAGAACTGAGTTAATGACTCGAAAATCAGACTTTCTTATATTAAACATATTTTCAGGTAGTGCTCAATGCGCTATTGGCTTTTTGGACGACAACTGATCGCGTTGTTATCAAAGGCAAAGGCGCCTTCTTATCCCTATTAGCTTTTGCCGCATGCATAAATAAATGGTGTCATTACCATGATTATTTCACGACTACTGGCACAATGAGTACAGTTGTTATATTGCTGGCGATAATGGCTAGCGTTTATATGCTAATAAATATAGCGAATTTATTATTGCGACGAATGCACACGAGCAATAATCTACAGATCTCACTTCCTAATCAAATTTGGATGCTGCTAAGCTGTTTACTATTTCACACATTAACGCTGGCCTCCTCGTCATTCATCGAAAACGAGAATAAGACTTGGCATTATCTTGGCGTCAGCGCTTTAATTTTGCTTTGTGTGCAAAGCTTTCAAAAAGAGTTATTGTCTTACAAGCTGGACGCGTACATCAATAATGTAGCGTTGTATAAAGTTGTTTTGCGCAATTTACAAAAATTACACACGTCCTTACTGATAATTGGTGGTTTGGGTATTTTATACCGTTTAGACGGCGCAGCGTCCTATCTAACGCAGGAAGCAACAAAAACATGGTTAAGTTGCATATTCGGTGCGGGTATGTGTGTGCTGAAATTAACCAAAAATTTATATTTATCTTAACAAAACAGTTCAATATTTTAGGTCTGCTCCTATATGCGTTGTGCTTGCGCCAGCATAAACTCGTGCAAACGCGTAAGGAGCTTGTCATCTATCTCTTTGCTGCAATGCTGATCTATTGCTTTCGTGCCACTAAGGGAGTGGTTTACTCTGTGTTTGACACAAACTGCTGGTAAGAATTACTAAAATTCGCATCTATATATATGTATATCGCCTATACATATCGTTTTGCCAACATATTCAATTTCCCTGGTATCCTTTCAGTGTTAGTATTGTTTTGCACATATTTTGGATGGTTATTGTTATTGCTGCCTGCATATCAACTGTGATATTATATTCCAAACGTCGTCTTATTTATCAAATTCACCACACTTTGTTAGCTGGTTGCTTTAAAATTCTTCTAACTTTACTAATGACAATTAGCTTGCTGCTGCACAAGCCGCACAATGTTTGCCTAGTTGCTTATTTGATCTACACCCTCTCTCTATGTTACGAGTTGTGCGACAAATTTGAAAAAAACACACTTCGCACCTCCAACTACAAGTACTTATCAAAACTGCTGTGTACTATACTCGTGGGCAATATGTTTTACTTCTACCAGGTAAAAGCACAGAAATTGTGTAGTTAGTAGCAGAATTTAAAAACATTTAACAATTTATTTATTTATATTAATTTGTAGGGTAATTCAAACAGTTTTGCCACGATCGACCTAAATCCAGGCTACATTGGACAAACTACATATAATCCAATAATTGTAGGTATTCTTGTCACTTTAAATATGTATTCCGCACAGTTTATTGCATTTTTATACTTAATTACGCATATTTTGCAAGAAAACGATAACAACAAAACAAATGATTTGTCTGCAAATGAGCATATTAATTTCATTATTTATTTCTACACATTAAGCATATTTGTACCGGTTTTAATTTATTTATGGTTATTGTTATTCTTTCGTTACCATCTGTTTATTTATTCAGTATTTGCGCCAAAAGCGTTGTATGAATATTACCGAGTAATTGTACTTTTCTTTACATATTTAATGACAACAATTAACTTGTACATATTCGATCAAAAATAAAAGTTGCCTTTGTTGAATTATAAAATAATAATAATGATTGAATTTACAAAAACAAAAACAAAAAATGAGTGTATGTAATTTGTTTAAAACACTAGCGTTAGTTAAATGCCATTCACGCGTAATGCATAATGTATATCATCGACACTAACGTTGAGTAGGATTTTTTGAAAAATATCATTACGCCCACATTCGGCAATAAGCAAACGTTCGGCGCACAATTTTGAGCAAATGCGTAAACAATTACCCGTTGTAGGCATGTTGATGCCCTCAAAGGCTGCCAGACTTTCCACCTGTGAGTAGACGCACATAAATGAAGTTTCCTCCACACCAGTTCGAGTCACCTCCGCAAGCACAGCTTGTAGAAATATTTGTTCTAAGCAAGAACAATTTTTTATTGCTTGCACTTTAGCGCTAGCTATCATTTCAGAGAGTGCCTGTTGCACATGTGCTATACCGACAAACTTGTGCATAGGCATTATGTTGTCACTATCTTTGGGAAGTATAGCGGATTCGGCAATTTCTGTCGCACGTCGACATATATCTAAGGCACGACGAGCATCGCCGGAAACTGCAGCCACCTTACTGCAAAAAAAAAATTGTATATATTAAATATTTGAAATATGTTATAAAATTTGTTTAATTCGTACTAACCGTGCTACAAGTTGTACAGCATCACTTTTAAAGGCTTCAGAGCCGCTTAAGCGCATTGTAACGATTTCATGCAATTGTTTATGCGTATATGGTTGGAAGGTGAGACGTGTTAGCCCCAGGCGTGAAGTAACTTTGCCTAAAACAAAACAAATAAAGACATGTAAATATTTATCTAATATAATAAACGTCAGCCACAACACACCCATTAGCAAGCGCTCTGGCAAATCCATTGTATTGGCTATAGTTATCACCACCAAATGTGCTGCAGACTTTGTGGGCCAATCCAACAAATTATATACAACATCTTGTCGCCGATTACACAAAATATCCAATTCATCAACCAGCAGCACTGTTGTAACGCGCCGTGGTGCCGGTGTTGTGAAACGTTTTTCCAGCAGCGAATGCGCTTGTTCCCACGAAACAGTTTTGCCCGTTAATTGTTTGTAAATTTGTACATACGCCTGACGTGGTTCAGTTAAACGCATACCGTTAATTTCGACAAACTCAAATGTTGGTAATTCATCATTCGCTTGTTTACGTTGCAGCATACGTATGACACCGGTAACGGTTGCTGTTTTGCCCGTACCCGGTACTCCCGATACATACATACACCCGCCACATTCATCCTCAATTTTACCTTCTAAAAATGAGTAAATATTGTCGAATTCTTTTTCACGACATGGCAGACTTTGTGGTACCACCGACACGTGCAACCGCTCGCGTGCCATTTGTAGATCTGATTTTTTTGCTTGTGCTGCAGTTGAAATAACGGAAGCAGGCCTTCTTTCAATTGTTGGTGACAATTCACCGCTACGGATCATTTTAAGTTTTTGTGATGGTGTCATTGCACCGGCCACCGCTGTTGTGGAATTGCGGCGACGGATGATTGCCGCATTTTTTATGGCCGATCGTTTGATATCGTTATCATCGCCCTTTGGTTTACGTTTTGGTGTGGAAATCGAATCCTCATTGTTGAAGACGCGTTTTTCGACAACGTCCGACAATTGAATACTCCGCTTTGGTGTGCTGTCACCTAAAATTATATTTTTAAAAGCTACGGATGTAAAAACTGCAAACATTGTAATTACCTGTGCGTCTTACTGCTGATTTAAGTATACTCTTACGACGCGTTGCTGTTGTTGTTGGTGTCATTTCAGTCTCTTCGGTAATTCTTTTAGATTTTTTAGTTGGAGTGGAATAAATCTCCTCTGGTGTATTTTTAATTACACCCTCAATTTCCACATTCATCGAAAGTGGATCATTGAACTGTTCATCCATGGCAGCCAGTTTGGTTGTGCGTTGTCTGGTAAAAAAAGGTAATTTTTTATTTGGAAGATTTGAACTTCTTATACTTACTTGGCGGATAATCTGAGCTTTATTTTCATGTTAGTTGGCACTTGCGCCGCAGCAGGAGTTTTTACGATAGAATAATTTAAGCAGTCTGAATCCACACTGCTATCAGCACCAGTATCCAAACTTAAATTCAAATTACGACGAGCGGCTGTGATACGGGTTGTTGGAGTGACATCTCCTCTGTTGCGTTCTGTGAGTGGTGATGTGGGTACGCGGCAACCCATTTCATCATTCGGTGTCGATATTTTCTTTTTCGCCGACAAACGAATAACATTTCTGCCACCAATTATTTTAATAGGAGACACTTTGTCTTCACGTTGGAGAACATTACAATCAATGAACTCTAATGCGGTTACAGTAGCCATAGAGGCACGACGTTTTCTTACTGCTACATTACCATCTACCTTATCTTTACGTGTTGATGCACTCCTAGAAACACGTGGTGTCTTCTTTTCCTTAGCACTTATACTTGGCGATTCCTCTGTGCAGTTCTTTTTTTTACCGCGGCTTTTTATCGCACTCTCCGTCGGAGCAGTTTGAATATTGGTATTCCATTCTAATGGCACAAGTTTGTAGGAGTTTTTATCCTTAATAAATTTATATCTGCAGACAAACATTGGATAGGTGTTGCGCTTAACGTTATATTGGTGTAAAATGGCACTCGCAGATTCATCAGATCTACCAAGTAAAACAACACATTTTCGAAAAATGGTCTCAAGAGAAATATCAGAATCATATGGTCGATATTCTTCAATCAATTCTGTGTCGAAATCAATACAAATATCATCGCGATCAAACTCCTTGTGAGGCACACATTCAGGTCGAGAGTACCACTGTACGATTGCGCGATACGGATCGCGATCGACAGAAACACATAATTCGTATAAGTGTAATATCTTGCCGATGTCGCAGCCTTCCACTGTATCCGGCTCAGCAGCATCAGCATTCGACACAAGAACAAAATCGCCCAAAGAAAGTGTTAAATCGCCAAAGATACACTTTTGATAAAAATTTACTTCTTTATGTACCAACCTAGGCACATCTACTACCGTGTCAGTATGACTTCCAATCCACTTTACAACTGGTGGCCCATTTATTTTATTCTCTTTGAGCACCATAATTAAAATTTTATAAAATGCAAACTCAGCAAATACATTAATATTAAGAACAACAGAGCTGGAAAATCTGCGCCAGCAATATAATTCTTGATGTTGATTTCTTTTTGGCGCTAAATTAAATGACATTAGGGATGCATTTGTATTTAAAACCGAATATGAAGAAATACAAAAAGAGTCATAGTGATATATATGATATAGATGAAATATTATTTTTGAAATTGTTGTCCAAGATTCATACTTACAGCAATGCTTTTTTATACAGTAAGAAGTTAAACTTTAAGGAAAAATAATTGCCATTTACATTATATGGACATATTAACTTATAGATATTCTAAGTCTACTTATATTTGTCACAATAGTTCAATTGTACAAATTATTCACAACTAAACTCACCTCGAGACTGTAAGTTTAACTATAAAAAGAAGAAGAGTCCCGCTAGTTTTTATTTTATTGGTGGGAAAAAATATTTGATTTTCTATATTTAAGTGATGAGATAAATTTATGTATTTCAAATTACTGAAATTAAAAATTATAAGCCGTTGCAAATATTTAAAGTATTTGAACAGTATTCAATACGAAGTTTATATGTGCATATAATGAGTAATGCTAATATATTAGCGGAGCTTAAACCTTGTGGCTATATATTGGCAACAAGGCAGTATAAGTACTTTGCATTAAAATGCATTCATTGTGATAAAAAATATGGGCACTGGGCAACCTTTTTACAACATTTGAAACAATTTCATAATGATATTGAAGATGAGGCGCATTGGCTTTTCGAATGCACTGAAGAAACGTTGTCACCGGCCCGGCAACAAAGTGAGGAGTATCCTGTAGAGTGTCTGACCGAAGCCCTACTACCAAAAGAAAAGGAAACACTTACTAGCGCTTTCGTATTGGATGAACAAATTGATTGTGTTGACAATGTTTTCGGAAATAAAACAGAGGAAGTTGCGGAAGACGTGCGCTCAAATAGAGAGAACACTTCTTCGCCAACTAGTCGGTTTCTGAACGGGACTTTTGAAGAATCGCATGACCAATTAAGTAATAGTAGCGTTACGGCCCAAGAAATTAAAAATTTAAAGGTAAAATTGCCTCAATTTTCGTAAAGCAATAAACAACAAATTTTGTAAATTTATATTTACAGGTTAAAATTAACTTAAATATTGATGATGAAGTCACGGTACAACTTATAACTATATATAGAAATTTTCCATCATTATGGCATTTGAATAAAAATTCATCCAATACGACTAATATAAAATATCAAGAAAAGCAAGAAATGTTAAAATCGTTTGCGGTACTTAACATACATATATCTATGGATGATTTAGAAGAGTCTCTCACACAACTTCATTTACAATATTGTGATATATCGCGAAGGTTAGAAGAAGGAATAGAGATTTCAGATATTGAAGAAAAATATTTCGAAATGTGTGAATTTTTGAAACCGTATAATAAACCACATCTTGTTAGAAATGAAGATGAAAGTGAGGAGTCTGAAAGTGTACATGGAGAATGTGATAAGGTAAATTTTGTATTGAATTTCTTTGTTTGTATCTATAACTTTTTTTGATAACAAGTTTATAGGGGATAATGATTTTAACGAAGGCTCACTAAGTGGATATGGCTCGTCCGATGGCGAAGCATTACAAAGTAAATTGATTGAAACGGTAAGTATTGTATATAAAAACGTGTAGTTATATGTTGTTGTTTTATTGTTTTATATCAAATATCATGACGCTAATTTCATAATTTTATCCTCTTAGCAAACGCTTGTTAGGTTTTCGACACGTAATAAAATCACCTCCGATTTTATACAAGGTCTCCGAGATCAGCCCTGTCTATGGGATTCGCAAGACCCCGCTTATAATGACCCAAAAGAGCGTTTACAAGCAATTAATAAGTTGAAGGATTATTTTCTCTCTAACTACAGCATACCACTTACGGAGTCAAAAATTACAACTGAAATAAGACGTTTGTACAGCTTTTATAAAAGATGTGTGGTTACGCGGAACACCTTGAATGTTAATCGTCAATATTATTATGACTGCTGCTCATTTTTGGCAGGTGCAGAATTGGATGATGTACTTCTAAAACGCAGTTATACATATCGTGTAAGTAATTTATAATCAAATACATTATTTTTGTTAACATTAAATCACTTCGTTTTTCAATTGCAGAAAATTTCGTTTCAAACAGTCGATGATTTTACGCTTGGCTTCATTGACTTCTGCGCCATGCATCCTGTGCTATGGGACAAAAACGATCCCAATTATTCTGTTTTGAATGTACGTCGACAGGCTTACGAAGAAATCGCAAAGAATTTACAACAAATTTACAATGTTGAATTGAATAACGAAGAGATTTACTATGCAATTTCTCGTCTTAAACATCATTATTATATGTTGCAACGTAAGAATCTACTAAACGGTTCGCTTAACAACTTGGAGCTGGAGTTTTTAGAGCGCTGTAGCTTTTTACCAACATCAAATAACAATCTGCAATGTTTGATTTGTGAACGAATATTGCGCAGTTATTCCACCTTACAAACACATATGTTAAAAGAGCATAATATTGGTGAACTACCACATAAATGTCAACATTGCGAACAACGTTTCGAGCGAAGAGCTTTGAAAGTTGAACATGAAGTTCGTGCTCATACCAAGCAATTTGAATGGTTTTGCTCATTTTGCTCCAAAGGTTTTGCCACGCGTCGTGATATGGAAATACACACATTGGTTCATACGGGAGAGCATAGATGCGTTTGTGAACATTGCGGCAAAGGTTTTCGGCTAAAACATCAAATGACCGAGCATGTGAAGATCATGCACGAACGTTTGAAACGTTTCAAGTGCACCATGTGTCCGAAGGATTTCTTTCGAAAACGTCAACTTGACGATCATGTACGTGCACATCTGAATATACGTGATAAGATTTGTAATATTTGTGGCAAAGGATTTACCAACATACATGGACTTTTCCGACACAAGCAATTACATTCGGACGTAAAGAAATATGAATGCAATATTTGTGGTAAACGTTTTCATCGTATATCCGGTGTGAATTCACATAAAAAACTAGCGCATAAAAAAGCCAAACAACAAGAGATTTTTACAAATATAATAATAAGTGAAGAAGAAGAGGATGATGGCGACGCCAACGGTAAGTGCATAAAACAATTATAAAATATTTTTTTGTTAAAATATATACTTGAAATACTTGCATTTATGTAGTAATTGTTATTATGAAATTTTCAATTTTAGAAATTTCTCTTTGATACGCTTAAACTTTGTCAACAATATTCTATATGTTTAAAACGTAAACGTAAACATATTGACATTGTTGTCGACGTTATAAGCTTTACTGACGGAGGCGGTCATAGTTAAATGGTCTACTAGTGTGTTCTGGATACATCTCTTGTATATTTGTAGACGTGTCGTTTTGTGCGTTATGCCACCTCCATTTCACATCATCGACGCTTACATATATAGTTTAATCTGCGATTTCTAAATTAGTTTATATATATAAATATATATATCTACATATATATATACTAAGGTACCAAATGACCGCACTGTTGACCGGACATCCTCTTGAAACTAGTATATATTTATTTATGAAATATTTAAGTATTAAATCAATAATAATATGATATATGAATAATGAAATGCTTATAAATATGATTGCGAATTTTTTAAGTAAAAAGTTTTATATTAAAAATTGGAATTTGAGTTTAATAATTTAATTTAATTCCAATTTTTGGATTAAAAATTAAAATCTCATCTTCGATTAAAATTGAGAAAATATTTTGTAATTTAAAAATTGGAGTAACAAATAAAAATATTATTTTTTAAATTAAAAGCTGGAATGAAAAGGGATAAAAAAGAAATGATTTACATACGTATTTCTAACTGAAGCACTATAATTAAATGCAAATTATCTTTCAATCCGATATTTGGGAATAAAATAAAATATACATTTTTAATAATATTTTTGAGAGTAATTTTTTTTCAATCCGGTATTTGGGATGAAATATTAAATATAAATTTTTATTCCGGTTTTTTGGAATTAATTTTTTTTTCATTGCGGTCTTGGGTATTAAAAATTATTTTTAATAAAGATTTTTGGGGTTACAAAATTAAAATACTTTCTTCAAATGGTAATTCAATTATTATTTTTTATTTTATTATTTGCAACTCTGAACATAACCCAATTTTTTTTTACCCATTGCTGCTCTTCATTCTCATTCTCTTTGTCCTAATTTAACATATTAACATAATATCACATTTGTGTGCTGTAAATTATGTTAACGCTTTGATGGAATCCATTTTGGGGATTCGTTAAATGCTGATGCAAATTTAAATAGGCTGGTTGGAGTATTGATCTGTTGGATTATTGGTTTTCCGATCTCTTCTATGTTGTTTAACTTACAGTGATTTGCTTCCTTCAAGTTAATTTTGGCAGCCGTAATTTATTGTGGGGTCGCATACGAATCCCGAACTACCTGCTTAGATACGCCTGTTCTCACAAAAGGCTAGTTTACATAACTGGAATGGACGAGCATTTATATCCGACCATGAACTGTCAACTCGGCAGTGTTTAAAGAAGGTTTTAGGGCCCTACAACAACAACAAGTCTTTCTTGAAAAACTTTCAAATGCTTGGTATAAATTAAAACGGTCGACAAATAGGTTGGTATATAGTATCAAGCGATGACTTTTCACTTGAACGACATATTTTGGGTATGGACAGAATAAATCTGAATATTTCTGTTTTAACCTTTTACAATATGTTGTATAATGTGTAATTCACGAGGCAGTTGATATTTTCTCTTTTAGTTTTTTTTTATATAATTAACAAGGTATATTAAGTTTGTTACGAAGTTTATAACACCCAGAAGTAAACCTCGAAAACTTTATAAAAATATATTTATAAATGATCATCGTGACACACCCTTGTCTTCCCAAGAAGCTGCTCATTCATCGGAATTGCCGGTATTGGGCCGCTATACAAACCAATCGATTAAAATTAAGTCCATATATGGAAAACTTTTTTATTTGAAAATATATCTTCACGAAGTTTGTCCTGAATTATTGTCCAAGGCAACGATATAATCTCCAAACAAGTGGTTTACATCGGACCACTATAGCATTTAGCTGTGATACAAGCTGACCGATCAAAATCAAGGTAAAGATTTTTTAATACTCTTTTAGACTATAAGAAAAGCACCTGTGAAGGATATTATATCGGCTGCACCGACGCTAACGTTTTGTTTTGTTTTAAACTGTGTTTAATTCAGTTAAATTATGTATGCGATATCAGGAGAGCTCGAAAATCCACAAAAAAGTTTGAAAATAGTTTTGATAATTTTTTTATGTTCGTTTAAAACATGTATTATATTAGGGCACATTCGTTATTTTAGCAACCATATCAGACTTGCTTTGCAATTCTGCTTTTCAAGGTCATCCAAATTCTACGACATTTTCTAACCTTGCAAAAAATTACTTGCCTAAAGGTCGACTATAAGTAACAACTGGACCTCCATTGCTTACTTTACAACTTCCATTTTCATTTCACAAAAGAAAACTGAAACAATTTGATTTTCATTGTTTTTATTTAATAAATTTTACCTTAAATTCTTGTACAACACTGCAAAAGATTTTCCGCCGCTTATGACAACAAATTATGCGAGCTGATCATTAACTTTGAATAATATTTAATTTGAAATAGTACAAATTATAGTTTTGTACCAGCACAGATAGTGTTTTAATAAAAGAATTAACAGTTTATAATAAATTAATATGAAACAGCTACAAGGATTTGAATTTTTTATTAAATTTTTTATTCTTTATTATTATTTTATTATTTAATATGTATTTGTTCATTGTGTAGTATGATGCACTGAGAATAATTTTTTTTAATAATTACAAACTAAAATTATAAATCCGTTAACATACATACGTATGTATGTATAAATATATGTGTATGTATATATAAATATATAAGTATATATAATTAATTATTTACAAAAATATAATGTTTATAAAATAATCACAAGCAAGTAATTATAATTAAATATTGAAATTACAACTAAAATTTAATTACCAATTCAAATACTAATACATTATGGTTGACGGGGTGGGGAGAAGTGATAATATTTTTACATATATGAATGAAATAAATACAAAAAAAAAAATATTATAAAAACCCAAATAATAAAGCATTAATTTTATAATCACAATAAATGAAGTCAAATACATAATATTGACAAATATATATGTATGTATGTAATAATATTTGTTGCGCTTAAAGCAATAAGGAAATCAACACTAATGAAAGCGTTTTATTGCAACTAACTTAAAAACTAAAAGCTCTTACACTGCGCGTTTACGTTTATATGTATGTGTATGTGTATGTTTTGGGTCTTATAATGGACCGTCAAAGTTGGTGGATTAAAAAGTAGAAATTACACATTGCGATAAACGCGACAACAAGCTAACAAATATTCATAATTTTGTGTACATTTCTAAGAATGTGTGACCATGTGTTTACATATATAACTTATATGTAAATAGATGTATGTATGCATATGTAGGTGTTGCATTCATGCCGCTGGCCCCTGAGCAATCTACGAGTTCAGTCACTTTTATTAGAATTTATATTTTTACGACTTCAGCAAACATATTTGCAAGTACTAGTGTAGGTGTGTGTATATGAAGCTGCTATCTATTTATATTTGTTTCATAGTTTTTTCGGATGAGTGTTTTCAATATTGGCATGAATGCAAATTTTTTTAGATAATACCATGTTTTTAGGTATGTATGTACTCTATATGTGGTGCTTAATTGAATGTGTGTGTGTGATTTGTATTAGTACGTTGAGGGTATATGTATGTCGCATTGTTCGTCGAAAGCGTTGTTTAAAAATTTGTTTGCATTATAAACGAAAATATCTGGCTTTAACAAAAACTACTCAACAATTTTTCTATACCAGTTTTTTTTTTTCATAAAGTTACACACGTTACTCGCACTTATTGGCTTTTGTGCTAACGACCAATGCTACATATGTATTTACCTCTTTATGAAGGTTATAAATTTGTTGTTGCTGCATTTCTTTCTTGTTTAAATTTAAAATATTTTCCTCTGCTAGAATAATTATACAAATAATTTCTCTTGGTTACGTGTTAAACAATTATTATATGCCATCATAATCGCGCGTCAATTCACCATTCCTAGCGGTTGGGGTAGAGTTGTGAAAGAAATACTTGTAATGTCGCCGCTACAGCCGTGACATTTGGTTAGTTGCGATCTATTCGATATCGTGAAATTTCAGTATGGCACGACCGGGTATCTCGGAGGTGCATAATTTCTGCACGACCTCTGTTGCTTGTTCGCAGGGAAACACCGAATGTGGTATGGGTTCGATCTGAAAAAATTTAAAAAAAATTTTAATTAAATTATTAATTTTTGCGAATTTATATTATAATTTTTAAGTCGCCTTAAAATAGAAGTTTAGAAAATTTAGTTCCAAGATTAAATTTGAAATAATTTGCATAGCTCTATTAAACTCCATTGCCTCCATTATATAGTACATATTTACATATGTACATTCGAGGGTTACATAACCTGTATCAATCAACAATTTTTTTTATTAAGGACTGGAAGTAGTCGTCAGTAACGACGAAATCATATCTTTTTGGTTTTAAATTGAATAAATAAAGTTAGTATAGGTCACTGTACCGACAAATACAGCAGATTTGTAAGGTAGCCCCTAAGAAAACCCACAAAATGTTGTGTAAGTAAGACTGGAGCAAGTTTCTGTCTCTATATTCTCTAGCTGACTTTCACAAAGGATCTCTAACTTGTAATAAGACTCGTTCCATGAATGTACAAGTGATTGTAAAGTTTATACCAGTGATTTCGCTAGTCTAATGTAGCCTTTGGTAAGAAAAATTACCGAAACATCAAGTGCTAAGCGTTTAAGTTTAAATGAAGGTTTTAAAGATCTCTTAGCTCTAAAATGGGCAATGCATTAATTTACACATTCCTGTGCATATAACAAAAATAAGCACCTCAGACCTCGATCACTTCTAAATTTTTTATTTCTTTTGAGACCATTATCTGTCTATATTGCAATAATTTATGCATTGATTACCTTATAAACGAAGATAGCGATTTTTTAAACGGTACCGGTACTACCACATACCGAAGATATGTGTATAATATGACTGTGGGGCATACATTTTTGACGTGTAAATGCTACTCATAAAAATCCTATAGCTCTTCAGAGCAGGCTTAAAAATTCGGTACCCACCCATTTGTGTACAACCAGAGAACTTTGAAGAACGAGAAGGTGCAAATTGAATTCTCTGGTTAAACTATTTACTTAATTAACTACCAACCACAGCAAATTCAACCAATTCGAATTTTTACTCACCGTTTTGCTAGCAACTAACTGTACTAGTTCGTGCAACTGTTCCACGGTACCGTTTGATATAGGAATAATCTCCTGCTGATATTCGATTGACAAACGTGAAAATTTGGGCATCAATTTCTCAGCCACATCCTCACTCATAAGCACGACACCGCCCTAAAAAACGAAATAGCACATTTTATTTATCATTCATTTATGAAATTCCACAATTAATTACCTTAGACAGGCAGTGCATTGAACGATGCAGACTGCGAGAGGTTGTACCGAAATCGATGACAACATCCACCGGCCCGCCGCACACATCTTTGGTGCGCTCAATCAGTTGTGGCTCATAGAGGCACTCATTCCACTGCACAACGCTGACACTGTAGAATAAAAAAAATATGTTTTATACTATCTTTAATTGTCGCATTAAATTACTTTTCAATCTCTGTGGCCAAGCGGAAGCCCTCATCCCGCAGACTGGCGACAGTCACGTTCACATAATTGTTGGCGCCAGTCGAGGCAAAGTGGTGTGTTGCGATGCGTACAGCCCACAACGCCAAACCGCCAGTGCCGACGATAAGTATCTTAAATTTCTTATTCGCCTCCTCAGCTGGACGCTTCTTCGACAATTCTGTGACCACTTCGTATGCCTTGAAGACGGCATTCATGGCCAACAAAGCACCAGTTGGCAATAGAGCAGCAATGCTTAGTGGTAAATTATCTGGAATCGGTACTATATATTTGAGATCGGGTACAACCATTAGTTCAGCATAACCGGCTGGTGCCTCATCGAATGGATAAACGACTACACGTTGACCAATACGTAGGCCATAGTTGTTGGCATCTGTGATTTCGGAGCCGAGCGACTCGATGACACCGGCTACTTCGTAACCGGCATAAATGGTACCCTCACGTAAGCCTTGATGTGCGGGATTTTCACGCATCTGATGTGCAGGTGACGCCTGGGCGGGCAAAGTCGGACAATAATCGCTCAAATCTGACGATACGGACGACATGCTGGTAATTGAAGCGGAACGATCGCGACGACGGAAACACGCACCGGCATAAACAATCTTGATGCGTGCACCCTGTGGCGGTGTGTCTTCGATGGGTACAAAAAAGTTGAAGACACAATTCTTCACCACCGGTCCCGGCGACTCAATTGACACTTGACGGCAGAGTTTGTTCATATTGCGTGGCTTCTCTCTGGGTGGTAGCGACGAGGTATCTGAGGTCGATGCTTCTACAGAGCTGGACTCACTGTAATTAAAGCAAACATAGTTTTATATTAATTAAATTGGGAAATTTATAGGATTATAAAAAAGGATTAAATTTATTTCTAAATCTTCAATATTGCCATAGCATTATTTATAGTTATTTGTTTAAAAGTTGAATTGCAAATAAAAATCACCTGACTTAAGTGGCTCTCCTACGAAAATTTACTAAGTAAGCAATAGTAAACAATAGAATTGATCTAGAATTTATTGTGTGCTATGGTTTTTTTTAATTGACGTGACACTTCATTTGTTCAAAAAAACAAACCTAATAGATTACATTAGATACCACTTTAAACCATTTTGTAATCTTATTTCACATAATCTAAATATCAAATCAAATATTAAAAATATACATATAATCCAAACAAATACAGCTCTTCAAAAAATAAAGTAATTTAAATAATTTTTTAGAGTTTTTCTGATTACTCGTATATTTATGACTTTGTATTTTGTAAAACTAAGAAAGTAACGAATCGAACGAATAACTGGCGTAAATGGAAGAAACTGACATAATTCAAAATAAATAGAAAGCAAGCAGTACCACTTCAATGAAATATCCACATAGTTCTTTGAATTTGATTGAATATATTCACTTTGTTATTGCTTTTACTTTTAATTTGAATTTCAAGGGCGCAGCGATGTGACGAAGCAAATCAGTTTTGTTTTCCTGTTTTATAGTCAATCTTAACTATCAAAGCGCCTAAATGTAGATTATGTAGTCTAGCGAATTTTTTTACTATTACCGTTATTTTTACATTTCTTGATTTTTAAATGAAATTAATACTAATTTTTTTGTAGTAAATTAGTCCACAATTTATTTATGTGCTTTATTAATTAAATAATCGTAGCAATTTTTTTATTATTAACATTATCAAAAAAAAATTAACAAAATTCTTTGTCAGCATCTGAATCTTTAAAATAATATTTTTCTACAATAAAGAATGTCTATTTGAAAAGATTCTATTGTTGTTTTGTTTTTAATTTGCCAGTGATTTTGTAAATACATACAAAAATGTATGTATGTATGAATATAATGTTTGTAAATACAAAGGTATGTATGTATGTATATAGTTACCTCTAATGACTTCCGTAAATATTATTCTATTCTAGTTTTAAGCTATTTATATTTCCATAACATTTATGAAGGCCAAAACGCTTATAAAGTGTTTTTAATCTAATTTTACAAGCAACTGTTTTTTTTTTTTAATTTAAAAAGGGCCTTCAAAATTATAAAAAAAAATATTCAAACACATGCTTAATTATACTTGTATACATATGTACACATATACATTGTATTTGGACATATGTAAATGTAATATATCTATAATATATACATATTATATACATTTTAGGTATTTATGTACATACATACATTTGTATACATATATGTATGTGACCTTTGATTGTAATTTGCAGATATATATTCTATTTATGTATATTGTACGTATTTATGTATATCTTTTTTATTATCTTTCAATTACAAGTGTCAACTAATGGATAAGGCAATAATACTCGTCATAACAAATTTATCGATAATTACTTTGATAATGAGAAAAGCACGACATCTCAAGTTCGCTGCAGCCACACACATGATTGCCATTATTTATCATATGATGTACATACAAACATAAATAGATAAATTTGTGTCACGTTGCGTACGAGTGTCAACGAAAGTGCTTTGTTGTCATCTGTTCAGAATGAGTATGAATACATGCCGACAAATTACCCCTAGAAGATTACAGGGGCCCCAAAAACACGCACACACACACATATGCATATTTTTAAGTATTTCGATAACATGCAAGAATATTTAAAAGTGGGTAAATGAGAATACACACATGCATAGCCAAGTGGGTTTATACTATAAGTGCACGCGGTTCATGTGGCCGCCGGCTGCTCACGTTGTTTACTCATTGCTTTTTGTTTTTGTTGATTTTATAGGTAAACAAAATCGTTTAACATTTATGAACAAAAATGTTAACAAGCTAGAAAAAGAATAAATGTGTACTTGAACAATTAAAGATCGAGTAGTAATAAATTAAATATAAATAGTATTAGGCTGATTGCTACCATCTGGCACGAATTACTAAATGGGCTTTTAAAAGCATCATATACTATTAATGCAAGTACACAGAAAGATATATATTATGTATTTGTATCGTACAAGTATGTGTATTATTCTATATGACATAAAATATAAATGTTTCTGGAACCTGCAACTATAATATATGTTATTTGTTTTTGTTTTCGAAATGCGTGTGTTATTTATAAAAACACAGTCTTTAGATTTTGGTAATTAAATATAGAATAGTTATATACTTTTACTTTATTTATTTTTTAATTAATTATTAAATTGTTTATTTAATTAATTTCTAGCTATTGATAATTTTTTCTGATTATCTAAATTTAAATATATTTACTTGTATTTGATATATTTGTTTAATTTTCAATCTCAAATATGTGTTAAATTTATTATTCTTATAATTTTGTATATTAATTTTATAGTTTATTTTAATATATCATCCATTCTAGTTTTATTTTAACACTTTATTTACATTTTTATTTAATGTTTTTTTTTTTGCATATAAAGAAAGAAATGTGTTATTTCAAACAAGGTAATAATTATATATTTGTTACTCTTAAAAAAATATATATAATTTTTTTAGTGCTTTAATATACATATATATTTTAAATTTGTTATACATATGTTTCTTTTTTACATTTTTTGTTGTACCAATTTTTTGTATTTATAAATTTTGCTTGGTTGTTTAAATTTAAATACGTAAATTATTGTAATTTATTTTTCCTGAACTATTAAATAATTATTTTTATTATATTATTATTTATTACATTTATTTTACTTATTTATTTTATATTATTTAGTTTAATATTAATACAAATTTACATGTAAACCATTTAATAAAGCCCAATGACAAAATTTATATGAAATTGAAAATATAAATTGGTTCAATGAATTTTATATTTTCTTCTAATCTATTGTTTTCATAAGATTAACTTTAAGTTTTTAATTTACATTGAATTATAGTCCTTTCAAATTTCATTATTTATTTAATTTTTATGTTAATTTTGTAATAATTATTTAATTAATTTAAATAAAATATCTTTTTGCATATTTTAAATTATTTTGAAAATTAATTCATTATTTTAGTTAAATTTCGTTTTGTTCCTCAAATTTTATTTTTTACTGCATTTTCATACAATTTAATTATATTTTTATTATTAGTTAAATAATGTTTAATATAATTTTTAATAAAATATACACAATTTTATTTTATTTTTCATAACTCTTTCTGTATATGAAATTTCAATTAGTTTAAATCGCTCTCATTAAATTCTAAGTATTGTATTCCATTGTTAGTATAATTCTTGCATAATTCTTAATTGTCTTATTAAACTAGATAAGTGAGAGGCGATATTGTTTATTAGTAGGCATGATTAAGGTTGAATGGATATTTCTATTCTTAGCAGAAATACTATTCTTAGCCATAAGAGTTTTATCAGCGTCTAACAGCAGTTAAGCCATAAATATGAATGTGTCTAGCCAACGGCTTTCAAACACACTTATGAACTTTCTATAAATTTATAAGTATATGTATATGACAGTATATATTCATAGGCATTCATCGGGCGGCTGATCGCAATCAGTCATTCCGAAAATTATGACACTTGATACATATTTATCTAAAATTCTAGTCTGGTTCTATTTTTGGTTTTATGAGCCCGCTCTTATCTGCAATGTCCTACACCCTCTTGAGCCCTCTTCAACCAGGATAAACATGCATTAATATATTGATGAGAAGGGTATTAATGAAAATTTGCAATAAACCTATGACAATTGCGTCAGCAAATTGGATTTTTATATTTCTTTGCCAATACAAATACTTATAGGCATATAATGCCTATTACTTATTTATTTAATTATATACATTTTATTCTGTGCGATTTTATTGCATGCTCCTCTATTGAGAATTATTAGGTTTAATAAAATGTTGTTATCTAAGCTCTCGTTAATTACAAGTTATCGCATTTATGTATTTAAATACTCATAGTGAGTATTTGCGAGTATTAACAAACCCATTTGCAATATGTTTATTATAATTTTGTATTTCTTCCTGATTAGTTGCATTTAATTACTTATGCATGGTAGATGATGTATTGACATAAACATACATACATACATATATGGTACATATGTCACATAATTTTCTTTGTCCAATTCAAGGTGATCAATGATCGCAGCAGTAAATATATTTGTTGTTTCTAGTATCATTAATTGTTCTTTATTGCATTTGTGGCTCGTTCATGAACATATTAAATAAATTACAATTGACTCGTGACAGACATAATTGTAATGATAAAAAATATGTATAAAAAAACAATGGTTTTAATTGACAAGAACTAACCTTTGCTTGAACCTATTTATTATGTTAAATAGTACTAGGGTGAGGAGAAAAACGTTTTGTGGGTCAGGTGTATTTTAAATTTTGTTAATTTAAATCATATAATTACTTTGTTTAAACATTTTTGGATAATTTAATTGAAAATGTCACATAATAATGGTTCATTTTGAGATTTATTGATTTAAATTAAATGAATTACGATCAATACTATAATATATATTTAATCAATTTAATTACGTACTGTGCATTTATCAATTTATTTGAAAAATTTAATAAATGTCAACTTTTTCTGGAATGTTTTTAAAAAAAATCCTACTTGAACTCCAGTATTTTAAAATACAATTTAATTGATTTGAAATTTTTAAGCAGCCAAGATTTTTTTTCATCTGTACCTTCTTTAAATTAAAATTATCTTTTAAAGTGAGATAATCGACCACCCTACTTTTATAATTTACCATATGTATTTTTTATATGTATCGTATAAATATGCCGATAATATATATGATCAATTAAGAAAATTAGCAGAGCCACTTACGAACTTTACTCTTTTATTTAATAAAAC